TTTGAAAAGGTATTTCACTTCTGCTTGATAACTTTCTTCATCAGAGCAGTGTGTTTTAGCTCGGTTTAGTAGGCTGTAGACGGTACTCCTCTTGTGAGTGATGGGGTGGTTACTCTCAAAGTGTATGATGACCTCGGAGTATGCTGCTTTGCGATAAACTGAAGTCTGAAGGGATCCATCAGTTTTTCGGCTATGCACACACTGGACACTGGACACAAATTTGCATGGGAGAACACCCGCATTGTTGGCGCCTGCCCAATAAGGAAAGGCCGCGAATTCCTGAAAGCAATGCACTCAGATGAGGCATGCATCAATCGGCATATCGATTTAGATGCCACATACAAATTTCTCAAGGACAAATGGAAGCGAGCGCAGCCAATGCCGAAGGGATGACGAAATCGTTGACGCGCATTGGCGCAGACTTCGGCCAACCATAGAATCACTTGTTTGACACGGTTAAATAGTTAACTGTTTTTGTACATTGCCCAAAAGTCTGACGACGAGCTGGGGAACCAGACTCGAAAATTTACTCATTAAAGTTTATTCCCTTCCCAAAGAATCTTACTTATTTTCAATATATATTAAATGTATTATACCGTACTCCCGACTTCGATACTTGCTAAAAGCCCAGACACGTGTTTCACCGATATTCTGCCGCTGCGTGACACAGCTGCGAGGGGTTCGGCTCCTCAGTGGGACCTCCAGCGTTCTCTAGCGGTTTCCGGTATATGAACTCCAGAGAATAATCAGGTGAATAATTTCAGAAATTAATCAGTGCAGAACTTGGAGTTAAATCTCCGGGACATGACTTTTTAGGGTCAGAACCGAAATTTCAAAGAACATTTGAGTCGAAGACAATCAACTACTGTGGAATAACCACGTAATGCCCATTCTACAAACAAGTAGTACTACGAGTAGTATGAATTCCATATGGTAATGGTAGTATACCGTACTCCCGACCTAGATACTTGCTAAAAGCCCAGACACGTGTTTCGCCGATATTCTGCCGCTGCGTGACACAGCTGCGAGGGGTTCGGCTCTTCAGTGGGACCCCCAGCGTTCTCTAGCGGTTTCCGGTATATGAACTCCAGAGAATAATCAGGTGAATAATTTCAGAAATTAATCAGTGCAGAACTTGGAGTTAAATCTCCGGGACATGAATTTTAGGGTCAGAACCGAAATTTCAATGAACATTTGAGTCGAAGACAATCAACTACTGTGGAATAATCAGGTGAATAATTTCAGAAATTAGCAAGTATCGAAGTCGGGAGTACGGTATAATACATTTACCATATGGAATTCAAACTACTCGTAGTACTACTTGTTTGTAGAATGGGCATTACGTGGTTATTCCACAGTAGTTGATTGTCTTCGACTCAAATGTTCATTGAAATTTCGGGTCTGACCCTAAAAAGTCATGTCCCGGAGATTTAACTCCAAGTTCTGAACTGATTAATTTCTGAAATTATTCACCTGATATATATATATATATATAGGCAGAATGCTATTACCGACAAAGACAAGGGAGACTGGAATGGCCATTTCTGGCTTATTAGCCGTCGTCAGCCAGCCATACCCAAGCCCGAAGTGGCTCGAGAGAGAGCCTTTAAGGCGCAACGGAACGAGTGAGTTCCGTATGAGCGATCGGTGAGCGCCCCTAACATTATATATATATACATATGGTAAAGGTATTGTACCGCACTCCCGACCTAGATACTTGCTAAAAGCCCAGACACGTGTTTCGCCGACATTCTGCCGCTGCGTGACACAGCTGCGATGGGTTCGGCTCCTCAGTGGGACCCCCAGCGTTCTCTAGCGGTTTCCGGTATAATGAACTCCAGAGAATAATCGGGTGAAGAATTTCGGTAATTAATCAGTGCAGAACTTGGAGTTAAATCTCCGGGACATGACTTTTTAGGGTCAGAACCGAAATTTCAAAGAATATTTGAGTCGAAGACAATCAACTACTGTGGAATAACCACGTAATGCCCATTCTACAAACAAGTAGTACTACGAGTAGTATGAATTGCATATGGCAAAGGTATTATACCGTACTCCCGACCTAGATACTTGCTAAAAGCCCAGACACGTGTTTCGCCGATATTCTGCCGCTGCGTGACACATATATACATATATATATATATCTCTGTCAGTATATACGGTATAATACCTTTATATGTATATATATATATATAGCAGCGAGATGGGATGACAGTGAATGCGGGTAGATTGATACAGCACTGTTTCGGGCTTATTCTGCCTTCATTCATTCAATCATAACCCTGACCACCTGCAGCTGAGACCAGAAACACAAACATACGCACAGATGCACCTGGCGCAGTCGGTTCACAACTGAGGCCTGCCAGATGGGTCTTAAGCACTTCATCGAACCGAAGTTCATCAGTGCCTCGCCACCTGTCATTCTCTGTCGCTGCAGATCGGGTATTTATCAATCAGGAATGGGCGCACACAGATCTATTGGCTTCGCAAAGCAAACAAGCTCCGTATGTGTGGCAAAGGTCACGAACAGGCAACCAATTACCAGGCCGAAGTCGGCCAAGTCATAATAGAAGCGAGGAGGAGCTTGTTTGCTTTGTGAAGCCAATAGATCTGTGTGCGCCCATTCCTGATTGATAAATACCCGATCTGCAGCGACAGAGAATGACAGGTGGCGAGGCGCTGATGAACTTCGGTTCGATGAAGTGCTTATGACCCATCTGGTAGGCCTCAGTTGTGGACCGACTGCGCCAGGTGCGTCTGTGTGCATGTTTGTGTTTCTGGTCCCAGCTGCTGGTGGTGGTCAGGGTTATGATTGGCTGAATGAAGGCAGAATAAGCCCGAAACAGTGCTGTATCAATCTACCCGCATTCTCTGTCGTCCCTCCTCGCTGCTATTATGACTTGGCCGACTTCGGCCTGGTAATTGGTTGCCTGTTCGTGACCTTTGCCACACATACGGAGCTTGTTTGCTTTGTGAAGCCAATAGATCGGTGTGCGCCCATTCCTGATTGATAGGTGGCGAGGCACTGATGAACTTCGGTTCGATGAAGTGCTTACGACCCATCTGGTAGACCCCAGTGCTGGATCAACTGCGCCAGGTGCGTCTGTGCGCATGTTTGTGTTTCTGGTCCCAGCTGCTGGTGGTCAGGGTTATGATTGGCTGATCAATCTACCCGCATTCTCTGTCGTCCCTCCTTGCTGCTATATATATATATATTAAAGGTATTATACCTTACTGCCGACATAGATACTTGCTAAAAGCCCAGACACGTGTTTCGCCGATATTCTGCCGCTGCGTGACACAGCTGCGATGGGTTCGGCTCTTCAGTGGGACCCCCAGCGTTCTCTAGCGGTGTCTGGTATACGGACTCCAGAGAATAATCAGGTGAATAATGTCAGAAATTAATCAGTGCAGGACTTGGAGTTAAATCTCCGGGAAATGATTTTTTAGGGTCGGAACCGAAATTTCAAAGAACATTTGAGTCGAAGACAATCAACTACTGTGGAATAACCACGTAATGCCCATTCTACAAACATGTAGTACTACGAGTAGTATGAATTCCATATGGTAAAGGTATTATACCGTACTGCCGACATAGATACTTGCTAGAAGCCCAGACACGTGTTTCGCCGATTTATATATATATGAAGATGGTAGGTGCTGTGGGAAAAGTAAGAATTTTTTATATATGTACTGAAAGGTAGGCATCCCAAGATAGCGGCCGTTCACTGGCGCAAGCGCCGAACAATTATCGATTTTCAAGTGCACTGACAGCTGTTAACTGTTGTCGACACAGTTGCTCTCTGTCTGCGTCTGACAACGACCTGGTGAACCAGCGTCGAAAATTCACGCAATAAAACTCCTTTTCCCAAAGAACAAATTGGACTTCAACATATATATATATATATATACTACTGAGGACTTTATAAACCACAGGAAGGTTAAGACGCCTGTTGATGGAATCGGCATGTGAATACCACGTTCTATGTGTGGGTCGTTCTGGCTTTGAGGTTCTTCAGCCTTATTCACCACAACCTGGGTCTAGCCCCGGTGAGGAGACAACCATTAGGTCGTGTTTGTGTTGTTCAGCCGTGCTATTACCCAGCCACATGTCAATGTTTGCATCTGTCTGTTAGCCAGGTCAAATTTTGTACCAGCTGCTAGTCAGAGCTAATGCCAATCGGGATCTTGGTTGGTTGGGTACGCGCCGATGTCTGTGATCGGTTGGCAGAAAAGGTAGGAAGGTCGATAGGAATGCGGGAGCTTTGTACGAAACGCATGTGGGCTCTGGCACGCGGACTGGAAACATGATGTCGATGTCTACTTGGGGTACGCAAACGCCGCGGAAGCTGGCATGTACGTTTTATTCAACAACCTTCGAGGGCTACGAGCTCCCCCTATGCCTGTGCCCTAGCGCCTGAGCCAACATGATGCGACCGCTAATGATAGCGTCCGTCGAGTCCTTCCAGATTGAACTCATTTTGATCTCGCCTTCTTTCAAGGTTGCTCCTTGCCTACTAAGAATTGGGATCAAGTCCCGCATTCATCCCCTAAATGGAAACAACTTCATGAAATTCTGCAAATCTTTGTATTGAGGTTCGAGTGTAGGCGTATTGGACTGCGCGAAGCGGGCTCAGTTGCTAGCCGGAGTCGGTTAAAACCTCTGACCCCTAACTTTCCAGCCTAGCGACCCAGAGGTTTTTAGACTATAAGATACGTTCCTATGCCACTTAATAACCTCATCGAATAAAAATCATAACTTATCAGATAACTGCGAAATGCATTTCAGTTGTATTTTCTGGTCTAGCAAAATGTATTACAAAGGTATTGATGTTAAATAGAGTATAAGGCATGACAGTGAAGATGTACACAACGCAGCTTCAACGTAACCACTAGAATGAGAGCTTCGTTGAAATTCCTCAAGTGACCGATATAATATACGCTGCATTTGGCGCACCAAGTTCTCCCGACCCCCATAAGCCCCCCTGAAGTGTTCACCGCTAATTGCGTATAAAGTAGTCGATTGGAGCCACCACTTTCGTGACGGCAGTCTGTGCAGTAGGCCAGTTGAGGAAAATCCCGGAAAGCGTGTGTAGCGAAATGTTCAGTTTGGCGGCCATGATGCCGATGTACACGTCCTCCAACCGAAGAGGTTTTGTGAAGGCTGCGACAATGGATAGCGCCTCAACTGCCTGCGCGCCGATGACATAGCAAAATCCCGACATGTAACTGGGAAAGACATCGAAGGGGAAGGCGGATCGGTCAAGGGCCCACTTATGACCTCGGCTCCGGATGACGGGTGAGGAGGGATTGACGACACCGAAAGCGTGACTGAGGAGGTCTGCGCGGGAGAAACCGGCAAGAGAGTCCAGAAGACCCTGTAGCCAGAGACCGTAGTCGTCATCGAGGAACACGAACTGCGTAGCAACGCCCCGACAGAGCGTATGCGCAAAACGCAGGTTGATAATGGTTTTGAGCGTTAGGTTGTTGTAAGTATCCACAAAGTTGGTCAGCAGAATATCGTCAAAGCTCTCAATCTCTGTTCTGAGGTTTTGGAGGATTGGTTCGTTGGCCGCCATCTCATGCATCTCGCGAGGGAGACCCATGCTGAAGACGAGGCCCACTAAAAATGGCAGCTCGCTTGTCTGATTGTGGATAAATTCACGGAGACGGCTTCGAGCCTGAAAGTTTTCGGTAGCGCTTTTCACAATCACGATAAACCGGTAGACCTCTTTACCTCGTTGGCTCTTGGTGCAAACAGTTCTACTGACGTTGAGGACTGAAAGCCTTGGATTATTAATTGGTTTCTAGTTCAGTGGAAACAAAAAATATGTTAAATTATTACTTATTAATTTAAATAGGCATAATTACTTGTAATCAAATTGGACCTTATACCTCATGCTTTCAGAAAAGTGATGGTAATCAAACCAGACACGGCACCTTAAAAAAACCCGTCCTACTAATAAAAGCCAGCGTAAATAACTACAAGCAAGGTATCTAACCAACACAAGAAGATCTGCCTCTATAGTCCCGTTTTCACATTCTTCATGCTGGTTGTAGAGCCATTCATTTAATTTCCGAGTCTGTTATTGAAAAGGGAAAGGTGAAATTAAAATTAAGGAGGGAAGTTGTCGATCTCCACTTCTAGAGACTATCAGTCAGTCAGGGATGTGGGTCACTGATGGTATCCGGAACTCTAAGCCTCCCAGAGGTTTTCCTCATTGTCTCAGCATGGCGTGGATGGTGAAAATTACAGTCCGTTCAAAAATTTCCGTTTCCGGAACCCTCTCC